CCCAAAGCAAAATGTTCCGTGCTTCGCTTCTGTTTAATTCAGAGTAGAAGTGTGAACACATTGCCTCTGGGACATTGAGAGCAAAACCTAGGTCTAATGCTCTTAGCTCAAAAATAAGATAGCCAGGAAACCATATTTAAAATCATCGAAGCTGCTTTAAAAAAATGCTTATGGATGACACATTTCAAATGTCCTTTGGTGACAAGATCATTTCTGAAATGCATCCATGGATAATCACATTTGGGAAGAATCATCATCATCTTTTTTTTTTTTTAAGATTTTATTTATTTATTGGAGAGAGAGAGCACGAGAGAGAGAGAGCATGAGCAGGGGGAGGGGCAGAGGGAGAGGGAGAAGCAGATTCCCCGCTCAGCAGGGAGCCCGATGTGGGGCTCGATCCCAGGACCCCAGGATCATGACCTGAACCGAAGGCAGATGCTTACCTGACTGGGCCACTCAGGCACCCCAGCATTGAGCCTTTCTGTATTTTACATTTTAACAATGGCTGCCCTTACAGGGTGTAATTAAACACCTAAATGCCATTTTGCCCCCTTTGATTAAAATCATGAAGCTGAGTTCAGTATTGTGGAAACAAGTATGCCTGCTGTCTCCCCAACAGCAAGGGGAGCACTACTCACTACAGCAAGCCTTCCCTCTTAGGCTTCCATGGTGTCTGGTAAACTGGAGATCAGTAATCTCTGGACACATGTGGCTCAGCTCTTCCCTGAGTCCGATAGTCAGGATAGGCTAGTTTCTGCTGTGGTAACAAACAAATCAACCAAATCTTGGGGCATAAACATAACAAAAGCTTATCTCTAGCTCTCACTACCTGCCTAACACAGGTCAACAGGGGGCACTGCTCCACGTCCTCCTGTCATGTCCAAGCTGACAGAACAGCCACTATCTAGAAAATTGGTGGTCACTCTGGCAGAGGGAAAGAAAGTGTGACAGATCTCTCACTGGCTCTTAAAGCATCTACCCAGAAGTGACATGTCACTCCACTTACATTTCGTTGGCCAAAGCAAGTCACATGGCCATAGCTCGCTGGAAAGGAACAGAGAGATGGATATGACTCGCAACTCCCATGCAGAGCAGGCAGAAGCACGTGGACTCAGGCAGATACTGCTTCATGAATGGGCACTCAGAACCACAGAGCCAGTTTAGGCCAGGTGGCCAGGTGGGCGCAGGTATTTTATTTTTCTCCTTCTTCCTTTTTTTTTTTTTAAGTGAGGGAGGATGTCTATGAATGAGAGGCTTTTTTAGAAAAAATGAAAGTCTTTTTAGAAAAACTTGGACTACTGAAAATATACCCTAGAGAACATTTGGTGTGTAAAAAATATATTCAACCATCTTAGGTCCTTCTATTAACAGTGAAGTTCATAGGGCTACTGAGCAGGACACAAGGAATTAATTTTCCCATTGTTACTGGATGGCTCACTGGGCTATTTAAGACATTTGAGGAGAAAGACTCCTCATATGGTAAACGCTATAAAGCATATGGAAGGAAGAATGGGCATCTTCCAAGGTTGGTAGTTCTTCCTATGTTATACAGTTCATTATTTTGTCTTCAAGCTTAATTCCGAGAGTGACCTCTAAGCACTGGGCTCTTGGGTACTGGGTCCAGGTTCCTCTGCCCTTCTCTACCTATATTCTCTCCCCGGGTCCTGTTATACACTTCCAACAGCTTCATATATGTCATTAACGACTCCCCAGTAATTATCTGTAGCCCAGATCTCTCCGTGAGCTGCAGTAGAATATACTCACCAGCCTATATGACATTTCCCCTTGAACATCTCATAGACCTTGGGGTAAGGCAGATGCTACAATGGCACCCAAAAACTCCATCCTTCCCGGTATTCACACCCCTGTGTTGTTCCCCTCCCTGCCCCCCCCCACACACACACTGCACCAGGGTTGGTCTTTGTAATCAACAGCAAACAACAGAAGTGACAGTATGCTCCTTCTGAGATCAGTTTTTTTTTTTTTAAAAAAAGACTGGCTTCTACCTTGGGTTCTCTTTCCCTCTTGGAACATTTGCCCTGGGGGAAGCCACATCATGAGTAGCCCTATGGAGAGGTCCATATGGTAAGGAACTGCAGTCTCTGGCCAACAGCCAGCTGAAATCTGTCAACAGCCATGTGAAGAAGCTAAAAGCAGAACTTACGGCTCCAGTCAAGCCTTGAGATGAGCATAGCCCTGGCTGATGGGTTGACTGTAACATTATGAGAGACTCTGAGCCAGAACAAACCCAACCATGCCATGCCCAAATTCCAGACCCACAGAAACTGAAATAACAAATGGCTGTTGTTTTAATCTGCTAAATTTTAGGGTAATTCTTTAAATGTGGTAATAGGTAACTATTCCACACATCACAGATTTAATATGCACCAAATGGAAATTTCTATCTCCCCTACCCCAATTCCCAATTTGTTCTTTCCCTGGCCTTCCTCTTATTAATTAACATCTACATCTGCCCAGTTTCTGAGCCAGCATCTTGAGAAACATCCTTGGCTTCTCCTTATCTTTCACTACCACCTCCCATTCATCAGCAAGTTCTACAGAATCAAAATCCAAAGCATTCATCAAATCCATCCCTACAACAAAATGGATTAAGAGCCCACTTTGCATAAGGCGCAGCATCAGGTGCTGGAGAAACAGCGATAAATAAAATATGCCAACCCCGCCCTCATGTAGTTGACATTCTTACAGGAAGGAGTAAAGAATTCATAAACAAAATATATAGTATGTCATATGGGAATAAGTTGTATGCAGGAGAACGAAAGGAAAGGAAGGATGGGAATGCCAGGGGGCTCGAGGGGTGTTAGAATGTTATTTTAAATACGGTTGTCAGGAAGGCCCAACCGGTAAAGTGGCAGTTGAGGATTCCACATTCTCTGGCTCTACTGCCGCTACCTGAGCCTGAGTTACCACCATCTTTCGTCTGGGCTACATCATAGCCACCTCCATGGCGCTCCCCTGCCCACCGCCCTTCAGGGGCTTCCCATTGCTGTTAGATGACAATCTGGAGAGCTTACCAGGCTGCACAAAGCCCTGCATGACCTGGTGCCACCCTGTCTTCCAACTTCATCTTGAACCAGTCGCCCAAGCTCCAGTCACAAAGACGTTCTGGCAACTTCTAGAACATGCTAAGTTCCTTCATGGCTCCATTGCCCAAGCAGGTCCCACTGAAAGTAATGAACATCACTAGGTCCTTCTCATCCTTCTAAATCAGAAGGTCTTGGTGAGGACTCCTTTTCGCCACCACAGGCAAAGTGCCCCGCCCCCGCCTACTCCATTTTCCTTTATCACAGCCCTGTGTTTACAAGTTGTAGCTGTTGGTTAATTAATTTGTTTGTTGGTTGTTTCTTTGTTTCTGCCTCCAACCAGAATATAGACTCCTAGAGGCTAGAATCCTCATCTGTCCTGTTCTGTATCGTAGCCGCCCCAGTGCGTGTCCAGCTATACAATACACATTTATTGAATGGATAAGCCAATCTTTCCTGACCACCCTGTAATTTTGACACCAAGTGTAACCAAAAATATCATTAAGTGGTAGAAGCAGAATCTTGTTTTCACAAATCTATAGGTTTTTCGATGTAGTAGAGACCTAGAGATCAATTACTCTTACATGCCAGAAAAGATAAGGAACTTGTACAAAGTTGCAGACCTGGAATCAGAAGCAGAATTAGGTTCCACTCATGGGTCCTCAGAGTTCTTTAAGCCAGCCACCTTGCTTCCTGCCCCCCTCTACCAGAGTACCTTTAGTTCCTGTAGGACAGGGGCAGACTTGTGAAAAACACAAATACAGGGTGGCTAAGTGGTCGGAGCACAGGTTTTGGAGTTAGACATGAATCTTTTTCTAAATTTTCCAACAGTGTGGCTTACCCTTCTGTGCCTTACCTTCCCCCTCTGTAACATTAGAACTGTCATAGAGCAGTGTTAGGGTGCACAGAGCTCAAAGAAGACCCCTGGTGATTTGCTTTTACTAACTGGCATAAATACACACACACACACACACACACACATAGCTTTGGGTATTCCTATTATGACTCTGAGATCAAGGAATGGAAATAAAATGCATTTTGCTTTTTTATGCCCCAAATCTATATTACAGATATTTTAGTAACTTTTATAACAATAAGACAACATCTAGGCTCCACAAATGAAAAACATAATTTCATAAAGTAGCACGCTGTGAATTTTGTGTTCGATTTATCCTCTTCAAAATTAAGTTGCTGCCTTGCTATCAAGTGCAAGTTGTCTAATCTCTTTTTCTTTGCAGTGTGCACGGAGATTTCTTTTTAAAGGGAGTTAGTTATTTCCGGAATTACATCAGGCCTTTAGGATAACTGCTGTACACCCCTGCTACAGAAGCTCTCCTCTCTATAAGTGTGTTCCCCTCGGAGGTGTCACTGCACCCGAGGCGTCTTCACAAATATCACAAAACTGAGGCTGTAAATACCGCGCTCTTATCCACAAGGCAGGCGCACCTAAGTGTGTTTGGAGTATCTTTATGATAGAAGAACCATGAGACGGCAAAATAAAGGGCAAGCCGAGGCCCAAAGCTGAGAGGTATGACTTCAAAGCTTATCAAAGCAGAATGAATATGCAAGAGATGCCCCCAGCCCAGCGCAGCTGCCGGAGGACAACTTCGGCGCATTTCTGTCGAGCAACACTGAGCTCGCGCCACGCAGGGCCCTCGGGCCTCGCTCCGCGCGGGACTCTCGGCCTCAGGTTTCAAGCCAGGCTTCGCTGGACTTTAGACTTTGGGGCTACCAGCTGCTTCTAAGCCCAGGCCAGGCTCCTGGGCTTCGCGCGGCCTCGCGATCCCGGTCTTTGCAGCTTCCCCTGCACATCTGGGGAAACGCCGCAGCTTGCCAAAGCGCGGCTGCTTTAAACCTCCCTTCCCCAGGGGGACCTCTGCGGGGGCTCTCCGCAGGGATTATTAAAGCGAAAGGACCCCGGCCGCAGCGGCTCCTGGCGGACCTCGCTCTTCCTACCCTGCCCACAGCTCCAGCGCCCGCTCCGGCTCCCGCGCACCTTCCCTCCGCTCGCCACGCGCAGCCTTCTTCCCCGGGACCCTCAGCAGGGCCAGCTTGCCGGGCCTTTAACGTCTCCCCACTCCCCTCCCCCTTCACCCTCTGGCTTAGTCTATTCCCCGCCCCGGGGTCGCTGGGCCAAGTTCCGCAGGGCCCGGGCCACGCCCCACCCAGGCCTAGGTCACGCCCTGCGTGATGCCACGCCCCATCTGGCCCTACGCCACACCCAGCGGGGCCCAGGACCCGCCCAGCCCGGCTCCAGGCCAAGTCCGCAAGCCGTCCGGCTCGTGGCCTGCCCTAACCTTGGAGCGGGCAAAGAGCTGGTAGCTGCAGGATCCGTTCAGCGGCTGAGCTGGGAGCCCACTTTCTCTGCCTAAGAGTCTATTGTAGGTACCCCCAAATGTCCTGGCAGGAAAAGGACTAGGGGCTAGATCCCCCAAGGGGAAAGGAAGTGGCTGCATTTCCCCAGGATCGCAGGTCTTACAGAAAAGCCTGGAACATGGAGGCTTTAGGAGCGATTTTAGTTTTCTCCAAGGATTACTAATCAGAGGGCTGCACTGGCAATTTAGTATCTCGAACAGGATTTGGATCATCATTCTGAATACAAAGCAACTTTGGGTTTGTTTCTCCACTGTTTCAGGTCCCTGGGCCTGAGGTTTCTCGTCTTTGCAGAGTCTGTACGGAATAGTAGCGCTTGAACTGGTCTTAGCACCTCCTATAGCAGCTGGCTTAGTCAAAGTGAGGGCATCTGTCCACAAAAACAGCGCTAGGAACAGTTGTCGTGATACAGAGTAATTCCTTTAAGAAGTACACTGTATTCAATTCATTTTATCCTGAATTCTGGGAGAAAGAGGATGGGGACTCAAATGGGAAGAATCTCCAGGTGTCATCTGAAAGGAAGGTAAACCTTTAATAATGATGATGATGATGATGATGATAATGGGTAGAGTTTCCTGAGGCCAATGCTGCTACTCTAGGTGATGCGTATATGTTATCTTGCTTGATTTTTAGAACAACCTACATGTGGTAGGATCATTGTCTCCTCCAATTCCAGATGACGAAACAGAGCCAGAAGAGAAGTACCTTGTGCCCGGCCAGGACTAGAACCCACTTTGGTCGATGTCAGTACACCACCACACCTTCTTAGTTGAGAGCAGGGCACTTTGATAGGAGGCTTAGTAATCAATTGATTTATTTAAGTCAGAAAAAGAAGAGAAAAGGAAATGAAGTTGTGTGTGCGTGTGTTCATTTCTTAAGGAGGGTAAAACTATGAGAAGGTGGTTGGTAAAGGCTAGGCAGGGAGACAGAACTGAAGGAGACCAATGGTCCTTAAGGATGGCAGCTCCTCAAATCCTGGAACAGGGAAGGGGATAAAAATAGGGTCCGACGGGAGGAGAGACAAGAATAAATGTAGAGGTTAAGAACTCTGGAGGGATGAGTATTGAGAGAACTGTATATCACTGGGGCTCATCCTGAGATTATATAATGAAGAGATGAATCGAGGGAAGCTTGTAGAGTGATTTCAGTGCTGGCTAACACTTTGATTGTTCATGCTGCAACCATGAAGCCATATAAATGTCTGCCTGACAGTGGTTGTGGAGAGACCTAACAGTTCATTATTTATTATGCTACGCATTTTGCTAGTCCGTACTGCCAGATGTGAAATTAGACACAAGATCCGTGTTTAAAAATGACGTCAGCTTTTCTTTATGGAAGTTACTAAATTCTCCACTGCTCCTGTTGCACCCATTGGTGCAAGATTTGTGATGGATTTCACATGCAGGCTCTTCCTTTCTTTGGCTTTACTCCTTAAAAGATAGTGTTAAAGAGAAACTAGTCTAGATTTTATTTCTCTTTGAAAGAAATACCTTCAAAGAAACTTCAAATTAATAATGTAGGTGTCTTAGAGCAGGAGCTTTATGAAACTATCATGAGCACATGTGCTCAAAGCAGGGGAGAGAAATCCATGCAAATCCAGTGTACCACAGTGAAAAATGTTGGTGGCGTACGGTATTGGTGGCATGGAGTATATACTGTATAATTCCATTTCACATCGTAAGTGATTTAAGCACTACCGTTGGTTAAGCACCAAATGCTATCTTATTGAAAAATAATTAAAATAAGCATTCTCCAGTACTGGCCCCCAATATCTGCTAGCCCTGGGGATACTCAGACAAGAACGGATAAAAGGGGTCTTTTATGATGTTCCGCCATCAAGAATGATAATCTGGTATCAAACCTTGTGCTCAACTTCATTTTTCAGCCTTTTGTCCTGGAAAAGCTGAACTTGGGGATATTTTTTGAAACCTAGAATATCAATGTACTGCTATACACCTGTGATGAAATAGCCAAGTTAAAAATCGTATTATTAAGGAACCAAAGGTTTCCAAATCAATCTGTCAGAGAAGGGTTTAGTTCAAATGTGCTCTCATTTCCACAGTACCTGCTTCTCATTTTTATAGTATCTTTGAATTTTGACAGCACTTGTACTCAGAAACCTGAAATTGGCAGAGAGAATGAAATCAAAACCAAACATCCAAAACCCCTCGCTGTTTGGATGAAACTTCTGGAAAGCACTCAGGTTTTCATCACTCTAGTTGGTTGTTTTAAATATTTACACAAAAATAGTCTGTGGGGAAAAAAAATCCAAAGAGGTCAAAATATGAAGTAATCCAGATAATTATCAGATGAGCAGCAGACACAAAGCACAGACGGTATCAGTTGGTAAATGGTGGGCTGTCAGGTTTTCATTGTTAATTGGAAGTTAAAATTGACGGTGCTGCCGAGATTTTCTCGGTTTAATTTTTAGTCGTAGTGCGACAAAGTAGTCCCATCATTTCCAGGAAATCTATTAGATACCAATGTCACGAGAGGGCTAGGACAGAGCCTTCAACACGTTTTCGATCAAATTCCTCTTCTTTATGCCTCCCAGAGAATACAACTAATTACTCAGTATATTTTATCACTTCACTCAAAGGCAAAGGAAAAATGAAATTAAAACTTTTCTAGTTCTTACAGAGCTATATTGAAAACACATAGTCCCCCAATTTGGGAAACTTTTTAATGGGGACTGTACCTTTACAAATGAGTCATTTACAACCTTTTGTTGAAGCCAATTACAAGTTTGTCTCCAGAGCTGTTCTGACTTTCACAGCCACCGTGGAAAACAGTAGAGCAGCTCCTCAAAAAATTAAACACAGAATTGCCTAATGATCCAGCAACTCCACTTCTGGGTATATAGCCCCAAAAGGTGAAAGCAGGGACTTGGACAGATATTTGTACACCTGTGTTCATAACAGCATTACTCACAATAGACAAAAAGTGCCAACAAGCCAAGGGCCCATTGGCAGACGAATGGATAAACAAAATGTGGTAGATGCATACAATGGAGTATTATTCAGCTTTAAAGGGAATGTTGATAATGCTACAACACGGATGATGAGCTTTGAAGGCATTATGCTAAGTGAAATAAACCAGACGCAAAAGGGCACATGCTGTATGATTTCACTTATAGGAAATGCCTAAAAATGGTCCAAATTCATAAAGACACAAAGTAGAATGGTTCTTCCCAGAGGCTGAGGGGAGGGAGAATGAGGAGTTAAGTGTTTAATGGGTACAGAGTTTCGATGTGTGGAGGTGGGCAGTGATGACTGTTGCCCAACAGTATGAGAGTACTGAATGTGGTTGAACTCTACACTTAAAAACAGTTAAAATGTTAAACTTTATTTTATGAATATTTTATCATCATAAAAAAAATTTGCCCTTAGCTGCTTGTAAATAACTTGTAAGAAGTGGACATGAATTTAGAACACCTGTTACTCTCACTAGATTGGCTAGTATACATGAGGCCATAATTTTCAATTATATCATTAATTTTAAAAAAACCTTTTAAATTGACCCTATTATTTGTTCTTGCCTAGCAGTTTTGGCATTTGTGGCAAAGACTCAATTTTATTTGGCGGCTAGGTGCTCACGAAAGCCATTTCCTCCTTCTCCTGGGCACATAGCTCTGCTACTTCCCAGCCTCCCTTGCAGTCACGTGTGGTCTACCACTGGGTGCCAGCCAATGGGATATGGTAGAAGTGACACCCAGAGGGCCCATCCGAAAACCTCCCACCCACCCAGCATCCTCCACTCTTTCTCCATTCATGGGTAGGATGGAGAGAATGCCTAGAACCTGGAAAATGGAGCCATGGGAGAGAAGCAGGCTGTATTTGAACGGGACGTGGAGCAGAACGCCCACCTACCAACCCTAACTGTGAGAAAATGTGATTGAAAAATTTACTCTTATTGTCTTAAGCCGCTGAGATGTGGGGATCATTTGTTACAGCAGATAGTTGACCTGATTAATATGGTATTGTCCCGGTAAGAGAACTGGGTGGTTCTGGATGCTGCTTGAAAACCACCGACCTTTAGCCAGCTAATATTAATAACTAATATTAAATGGCTTCCCAAATCCTTGAGAGAATTATTTAAGTGTTAGAGGCATCTGTTAGCACAAAATAATGCGATTATTGATCTCTAATAAATACAGTGTTGAGAGCTAAGTGAAACAGAATGAAATTAAACCCAAGAAAGTCAGCAGGGAAGCTATTCATTAACTGTAAGCCCAGGCATATGTGTCTGTGAAGAATACCAAATAGTCATTGTCTCCGTGTTGAAAAACAAAGCAATGTGGACTTGAAGCAAACGTTAAAGCGATGGCTTGAATTTATAATTCAAATAATTTGACTCTTTTCTCTTTAAGTAATATGGGTAATTTCCTTGTTATCATTTCAGGATATTTTTTTGATTGTGTGTGTGTGTGATTTTTTTCCCTCGCAAAATTAGTTTAAATTGCTCCTCAGAGACCTGGTTGAAATAATGGTTTGCAATATTTTGTACTATGTGAGGAACACAGCCTTTGCAACCTTAGTTCTTAAAGAATTCTTCTGTGTGAATAGTTGGCTTGATTGTGTCACTTAGTAAATATTAAGAGAAGTAACAATATACTGGGATATCTAAAATTGTAGTATATAAAAACCATGTTGTAGCTAAAATAATCAAAGAGAAGAGTTTGCTTCAATC